CAGGCTCTAAATCATTTTGAACCCTTTGCGACATCCAGCTTGTTTGCACAAACCAAATCTTTTCCTTAAGAGGGGGAAAAAAAAAAAAAAAGTCCTATCCTGATAAAACTGTAGAAATATGTCATTAAGCCTTGGTTCACACTTGATGTGACCAGGCATGCGATTTGCATGCCTTGCAACTTGCTTGCCAAGTCTCTCCCTATTGTCTGCAATTGGAGCAGTCATATCGGTGCGGTTTCGACTTGGTCGGAGCCGCACCGATTTCAAAAGTAGTACATGCACTACTTTTGGTGGGATTTGCATAAACATCTGTACCAGATGTCTTGCAAATTGCACCTGAAATCGGCGGGTCCCCTGACTTTGAAAACGTGCGACTTCACCTTTGTTAGATGAAATGAGCATGTCTCTTCTCTCAAAAACTCATTTCCTCTTTTCTTTTCCTAGTACTGACAGCAACCCATGCTCAGTAGTGTTAATTTTTAGCATATGTCAGATGCTGAACATTAGGCCTCAGGATGATGAAACTCCACTGTGCATGCACATAAATGCATTACTGGCTATCTTATGACTGAAGAAGAAATGGTGCCAACAGTGTGTGACGTTTATTTAAATATGGCTTCAACAGCAGTAAAGTGGCATGGGGCAGTTTCCTATTATTTACAAATATGCTGTGCACTGCCAAAGCAGGGTATAGCAACCCTAGTGTAGAACCACAGCCATTCTGGTCTATGGGGTGTTGCTGTGCAAGCATGACTAGCACTGAATGAAAACACTGGAGTAGGCCACCTTAACAGAAAGTAAGAGATTGAGGAGTTCTAGCTTAGATAGGATAAGATTTTTTTTGTAAAACTGAAGTGTTACTTAAAAATCATGAAAAAAAAAAAAAAATAACACATTTTGCTACTATGCGACTGTAAAACCTTTAATCAACATGTTCCATGTCATTGTGTATCTCTTATATACCTGGTAAGCTTGCCAGTAAAATTGTTGGCTGCCAACTTCCTACAAGAGTTTCCACCTTTTTCTCTATGCCTGAAGAAGAAGCAGGTGACTTCCACATCTACCATGTTACAACCAAGGCTGCTGGCATTCCAGGGGTCGCTTCTCCTCACCTATATAATCTGTCATGCACAATGAGACACCAAAAGAAAGTAGTTGTGTGGCCACAGAGGAAAAAAAAACCCAGAAAAGAAAACTTATTTTGGCCAAACCAGAGGGAATAGTGTCGTAATAGTAGTTCTAACCGAGAGCTCAAACAAGTTTTTCAAGCATTAACCTCCCTAGCGGTCTGATATGTCCATATTTCTGTGCTCAAAGCGGTACATTTTTTTGCATTGAAATACAGTTGCAAGAAAAAGTATGTGAACCCCTTGGGATTACGTGGAGTTTTGCATGAATTGGGCATAAAATGTGCTCTGAACGTCATCTAAGTCACAACAATAGAAGAACACAGTCTGCTGAACATAATACTACACAAATATTAGATGTTGCCATGGTTTAATTGCACATAACATGTAAACATTCACAGTGCAGGGAGGAAAAAGTATGTGAACCTTTGGACTTAATAACTGGTTGACCCTCCTTTGGCAGCAATAACCTCAACCAAACATTTCCTGTAGTTGCAGATCAGACCTGCACAATGATCTGGAGTAATTTTGGACCACTCCTCTTCACAAAACTGTTTCAGTGTAGCAATATTCTTGGGATGTCTGGTGTGAATCGCTCTTTTAAGGTCATGCCACAGCATTTTAATCGGGTTGAGGTCAGGACTCTGACTAGGCCACTCCAGAAGGCGTATTCTGTGCTGTTGCAGCCATTGTTTTGTTGAATTACTTGTATGCTTTGGGTCGTTGTCCTGTTGCATCACCCATCCTCTGCGGAGCTTCAGTTGGCGGACAGATGCTCGTACGTTTTTCCTGCAAAATGTCTCGATAAACTCTGGAATTCATTTTCCCATCAATGACAACAATCCGTCCAGGCCCTGAGGCAACAAAGCAACCCTAAACCATGATGCTCCCTCCGCCATGTTTTACAGTGAGGATGAGGTTTTGATGTTGGTGTGCTGTGCCTTTTTTTCTCCACACATAGTGTTGTGTGTTCTTCCCAAACAACTCAATCTTGGTTTCATCTGTCCACAGTATATTTTGCCAGTAGTGCTGTGGAACATCCAGCTGCTCTTTTGCAAACTTCAAACGTGCTGCAATATTCTTTTTGGACAGCAATGGCTTCCTCCGTGGTGTCCTCCCATGTACTCCATTCTTGTTTAATGTTTTCCTTATTGTAGATGTGTCAACAAAAATGTTAGCATGTGCCAGAGATTTCTGTAGGTCTTTAGCTGACACTCTGGGATTCTTCTTTATCTCATGCAGCATTCTGCGCTGTGCTCTTGCAGTCATTTTTACAGGACGACGACGCCTAGGGAGAGTAGCAACAGTGCTAAACTTTCTCCATTTGTAAATAGTCTGTCTTACCATGGACACATGAACATCAAGGCTTTTGGAGATACTTTTGTAACCCTTTCCAGCTTCATGCAAGTCATCAATTCTTGATCGTAGGTCTTCTGAGAGCTCTTTTCTGCGAGGCATGGTTCACATCAGACAGTGCTTATTGAAACCAGTAAACCCAAAACAGGTGTGTGTTTTTTAAAGGCAGGACAGCTGTCAGCAACACATCCAATATCATCACACTGATTGGAGTCAAGGTTGGCTCACTCCTGTCTCCAATTAGCTCTGGGAGAAGTCTTTAAGCTAGGGCCTCACATACTTTTTCCTCCCTGCACTGTGAATGTTTACATGTTATGTGCAATTAAACCATGGCAACATCTAATGATTGTGTAGTATTATGTTCAGCAGACTGTGTTCTTCTATTGTTGTGACTTAGATGACGTTCAGAGCACATTTTATGCCCAATCCATGCAAAACTCCACGTAATCCCAAAGGGTTCACATACTTTTTCTTGCAACTGTATGTATTTTTTTTTATTGTAGGCCTGTAATTTTTAGGAATAACTCACTGAAATCTGTCCGAACAAGAGTCTAGTAAACATCCCGGGTATGTTACAATTTGAAACACGAAATCATAAATTATAATTTAATAAATAATCATAAAAAATAATAATATAATAATAATAAATTTAATTCAATATTATAATCAAACCAAAAACACTGAAATTTGAAATAGAGCGCCAAGTTCGCACATCATTGAGCAAAGTCGCAAAATTGTTTTCAGTGTCTGATGACGAATTTCGCCACGAATCATTATCACTCAATTCTGCTAGTAGTTCTGATTTACTATTGCTGTTCTCTAGCTGGTCTAAAACCGATTTTGACCTAAAGGATGCTTTTTGGACACCATGAACATTTCTCAGTTTCCAGGCAGAAAGAAAAGTAAAAATGCAGGCAGGGCACAGGACAAAGCACTCGGGACAAAATGTATGTGAAATGGTTTGATACAGTAATGTTTTACTATGTGATTTTAGTGCATTTAGTGAATGTCACTTTTTGTCATTTTCAAATTTCCAGCCGTTCCGTCCCCCGTACGTCCCGACGTTCGCAGGAGACGGAACCCAGATGACAGATGCCGACATCCGCCGGAGGACATTGCCGGGACACTGCAGGAGGGACATCTCGGGAGCACAGGACAAGGTAAGAGAAGAACAGATCCTGGAGCAGCGCTGCATGCTAAGCCCGAGTGTAGCTCGGGGTTACCGCTTGTGGTACTGAATCTATACCCCGAGCTACACTCGGGAATACTGCCAGAGAGGTTAAAATGTACAGTCATGTTCTTTAATCATGATAACTGTTTATAGGATTTTGTGCATAAAGCATCATTCTGCACATTTTATATTCATATTTAGTCTGACTGTAGGTTTGCTAGTTCTCACCGTTCCCTACACTCCAAAACCTTTAGATCTATCGCCATTTTTATCACCTTGAATTATAGGGCTGAGGTTCCTTGTAGTGACAATTATTGGTGGGTGCCCCTTCCATTCAAATAGCTGCTCATTCAGCCTATAAGTGATACACTATTTTTTATACAATATGTAACGATCTTATTTGTCATTATATAAATCAATGCCTTACGGTCAATCCGTCAATGCACCCCCCCCCCTCCCACCTGGAACATATAGTCCCTTTTCCCCTTATTTTACTGGCATTTTACACCGGACTCTTGTTTCTGGAGTGTGCCTCTATAAACACAAAATACTATTAAAAAAAAAAAAGAAGAATATCAGTGTAATTACAAATGAATGGTACGACCAATTTACTAATAACTTTCCATGACAACATTCAACAACTTTCATTTAAGCATAATATACATCACATAACAATTACATATGCTACCAGAAGTGGTTTTTTTTTTTTTAAACATTTTTAGCATTTCAAGTAGTTGGTATACCAAGGCTGTTTACGTATGTCTTCAACTGTCAAGTATGAATAGATTGATAAAGTTACATTCCCTGATTCCACAAAGCCTTCCGGCTTTAGAAGATTTAATAATGAGGTTAAACTGTAGAAAATACATTAACCTACAGTAACATTTATGAAGTTTTTTTTTTATGCCAAACGCATTACAAAACGTGCTATCAAAGTCACATGCACTTAAAAGTTAAAAAAGTAAATCACAAGCAGTCGTATACAGTGCCACTGTCTGTCCTAGCTGAAAAAAGAACCTGCACTAACAGAAATGATAAACTACTGGGCTTACATATAAAAACTGGAGCAAAAAGAAAAGGAGTTGGTGTGGCAACCAATCAGATTCCAGCTACCTTTATTCTTTTCCTATTTTTTTATATTAGCCCCTTAATAAACTTCGATCTGTATTCAGTTTTCTTCTTCCTTTCTCAGCCAGTCTGCTAATATTAATCATCAGACCTGGTTACAGGAGTAGGGTCAATGTACAACAGTCTGTGTAACGTTCCTGTTCATGCTTTGCACGGAGTGAAGTAGTGAATTGTATGCCAGGTACTGAATCATTCAAGTGGCAGCAGATTCCTCTTTCTTATGGAAAGTAGAATGCTTTTGTAAGCATGGACACAACACACGGGATCTGCTTCTTTGCATGAAAGTCCATTTGAGTTGAACAGGATTCAAATTCCAAGGCCACCATGTGATTCACGCATGTGAGAATCTGGATAAGTTCAAGCTGGCGGTGGTGCAATTTCAGCATTTCACAAAGAGACTGGATAAACCAGGAGCCATTTACTGTGTTTCTCCAAGAATAGTACCCTAGAAAGAAGAATAAACGGGTTATACCCAGATTTTGACTAATTCATAATCCAAATAATATATCTTACAAAAATGATGTGCGTACTTAACATTATCCAGGCAATATATAGTGGAATTAAAAAAAAGAGATGTAGACACCCTTTAGAATTTTGTTGTGAAGCACTCTGTCCTCACTGCATGGTCGGCCCCTTGGTAGCTAGGATGCTGTCATCTGTGCAAATGACAGCATCATAGCAACGGATATCCTATCCTTGGACCCATTCAGCTGCCAGTCAGCAGATTCCTAGGCCGACAGCTAAAAGTAAACAAACAGGTGGGGATGCTGGGGGGTTACGGCATCAGATGGGCAGGAAACATAAGGGTGTGCAAAGCTGTAGGCTATGTATGTGCTGGACATAGAGCGGGATGTGTGTAATGAGCTGAGAAGAGCAGGGTGCTGATTGTACACTGGTTCCGGGCATTTGTACAGCCCAGACACTGCTCTGACATTGCTGCCAGTGAAGGATCAGTCTCATTACAGGGTGCTGAAAGCAGTAGCAGCAGATGAGGAGAGTGCAGTTCTCTGTGTGGTAACACTATGTGTATGTAGGGCGCTGCTGATGACATTGTCCGCATATGACCCCTGCCATATTTGGGTAAATGACGGCAGCAAGCAAAATCACCCTTTATTTACTTTCAGCTGTCAGCAAGGGAGTCTCTCAGCCTGCAGCTGATTGGGGCTGGGGATAAGTCATTGGCTGCTAGGAAGTCAGTGGCCACCAGCGTCCTAGCAATGATGATCCCAGTGTATGAAGTAGTCAAATCAATGTTCCCAGCACATACAGTCAGGTCCATAAATATTGGGACATTGACACAATTCTAACATTTTTGGCTCTATACACCACCACAATGGATTTGAAATGAAACGAACAAGATGTGCTTTAACTGCAGACTGTCAGCTTTAATTTGAGGGCATTTACATCCAAATCAGGTGAATGGTGTAGGAATTACAACAGTTTGCATATGTGCCTCCCACTTGTCAAGGGACCAAAAGTAATGGGACAGAATAATAATCATAAATCAAACTTTCACTTTTTAATACTTGGTTGCAAATCCTTTGCAGTCAATTACAGCCTGAAGTCTGGAACGCATAGACATCACCAGACGCTGGGTTTCATCCCTGGTGATGCTCTGCCAGGCCTCTACTTCAGCTGTCTTCAGTTCCTGCTTGTTCTTGGGGCATTTTCCCTTCAGTTTTGTCTTCAGCAAGTGAAATGCTTGCTCAATCGGATTCAGGTCAGGTGATTGACTTGGCCATTGCATAACATTCCACTTCTTTCCCTTAAAAACTCTTTGGTTGCTTTTGCAGTATGCTTTGGGTCATTGTCCATCTGCACTGTGAAGCGGCGTCCAATGAGTTCTGAAGCATTTGGCTAAATATGAGCAGATAATATTGCCCGAAACACTTCAGAATTCATCCTGCTGCTTTTGTCAGCAGTCACATCATCAATAAATACAAGAGAACCAGTTCCATTGGCAGCCATACATGCCCACGCCATGACACTACCACCACCATGCTTCACTGATGAGGTGGTATGCTTAGGATCATGATCAGTTCCTTTCCTTCTCCATACTCTTCTCTTCCCATCACTCTGGTACAAGTTAATCTTGGTCTCATCTGTCAATAGGATGTTGTTCCAGAACTGTGAAGGCTTTTTTAGATGTCGTTTGGTAAACTCTAATCTGGCCTTCCTGTTTTTGAGGCTCATCAATGGTTTACATCTTGTGGTGAACCCTCTGTATTCACTCTGGTGAAGTCTTCTCTTGATTGTTGACTTTGACACACATACACCTACCTCCTGGAGAGTGTTCTTGATCTGGCCAACTGTTGTGAAGGGTGTTTTCTTCACCAGGGAAAGAATTCTTCGGTCATCCACCACAGTTGTTTTCCGTGGTCTTCCGGGTCTTTTGGTGTTGCTGAGCTCACTGGTGCGTTCCTTCTTTTTAAGAATGTTCCAAACAGTTGTTTTGGCCACGCCTAATGTTTTTGCTATCTCTCTGATGGGTTTGTTTTGTTTTTTCAACCTAATGATGGCTTGCTTCACTGATAGTGACAGCTCTTTGGATCTCATCTTGAGAGTTGACAGCAACAGATTCCAAATGCAAATAGCACACTTGAAATGAACTCTGGACCTTTTATCTGCTCATTGTAATTGGGATAATGAGGGAATAACACACATCTGGCCATAGAACAGCTGAGAAGCCAATTGTCCCATTACTTTTGGTCCCTTAACAAGTGGGAGGCACATATGCAAACTGTTGTAATTCCTACACCGTTCACCTGATTTGGATGTAAATACCCTCAAATTAAAGCTGACAGTCTGCAGTTAAAGCACATCTTGTTTGTTTCATTTCAAATCCATTGTGGTGGTGTATAAGCCAAAAATGTTAGAATTGTGTCTATGTCCCAATATTTATAGACCTGACTGTAAGTCCAGTTCGAGGCACTGGCATCACTCTGTGTGCCCAGTCAGAGTTTTTCTTAATTACTGCTAGTTTGTTCATCTGCAAACTGGTGGTAATTCTTTCTGAATTTGTTGCAGTCAAAGTGACAAGGTCTAAAAGTTGCAGTAACAAAAATTATCTGAATCTGTTGCACATGTCGGTACTGGAACTGAAACTGAAGTTTTCATTAAAGCGGTATTAAACCCAAAACCAAAAATGTAATATATTGCAGCTTACAATCTTTAGATTAGATGAATGGTAAGTTGCAATATATTACATTTTTGGGTTTAATACCACTTTAAGTCACTTATACTGCTTGCAATATGGAAAAAATGCATTAATATATTAATGAATACAGAACTGTATTTTTGACATTTATAACTTCCTAGAGGTCAGTTTTATGGAGGAGGATGTCCAATTTGATTCTAGAATTCACATGCATTATATAAACAGCCTCTAGAATTAGTGAAATTGTTCTAAAATCTGTCCTTGTTGCGAAGCAATAAATGCAATTGTGACCTTCCCTTTAACATGCTGTAGATTTCCTAGCATACCAGGGACTGTAGAATAGGCATATAGGAAATCTGCTTCAACTGGGATCCTATGCGTTTCTTCTTGTGATCCACCTCCACTGTCTGTCTCCACTCCTGAGTCAAGTTCTGTTCCCCTGCAAGCCTTCAGGAAAACATAAAAAAAAAAACAAAACAAAAAAAAAACACAGCTATTATTTAGGAATTCATAATTATATAAATCTGTAAAATTCTAAATATGTAGGCTTTTAACGGTGCTCCACTTTTTTGTTAACCTCTGTATAATATGGTAATCACTCTACATGTAAGTCATAATTCCCATTTTTTGCAGCAAAGTCGTTATCTTGGTGTACAGTACAGAACCTGTATTCATAGACCATGGGTTATGTGCAGGCTACCTTCTGGTGATTTGACACTGGCATGAAAACTTGCTATGGTCTCTTCTAATACACACTCGTATAACTCCATCCACTCAGTGAGACTCGAGTTTCTACACAAGCAATAAGGAGATACCACAGAAGACAGAGGGGAGGGACCTGTGCACTGCATTGTACTCTAAGATAAGGAATGTACACATAAGTAAACATCCCCATTATCCTAATCAGAACAGGGTACAGTGCTCATATTCAGAGACCACGAGATGTCCCACAGCAATAAAATGAAGGGTGGACAACAACAAAGCAAACAAAACCACCAAGTTTAAAAAAAACAAAACAAACAAAAAAACAAGGATTAATGAACTCAAATATACACAGCTTTGAAGCACCTTGCGGCGGGAGCTTGCATCAACTAAGGTTTGAACATCCACTTGGTAAAACATGAAGAATAAGTGAACAAGGGACTGGAGTGGTGGCCTTGCAAATCTGGGATACAGGTGCTTGATGCTGAAAGCCTCAAGGAAAACCAACAGACCTGGTGGAATGAGCTTCCATAGGGAAACGAAAAACCCTTTTCTTAAGGGCATAAGCCCTGGAAATACGTTGTCTGGTCCACCTGGCAATGGTGGATCGAGAGGCAAAATGTCCCCTATGAGAGAGTGTAGGTAAGAGAGAAAGTCAGATTTTCTACCAGGTAGAACCTGACAGCACTGACAACATCTCAGCAGTGTAGGGAAATTTCCTTGGCAGGGTTTAGAGCAGGACAGAGGGAAGAGAGGGCAATATCCTCATTAAAGTGTAATTCCACCAAAACCCAAGTTAAAAATCTATTCCCACCCCCATACTAAGTCTATTATATCTACCCTGTAAAAGGAAAGATGTCTAGTCTATTCTATTCCACCGTTGCTCCGATCTGGTCACACGATCAGGTCCCAGCGCTGGCTTCAGTGTAGAGAAGGAACAGTTGATAATGGCTGTTCCTTAGTAGGTCTATGGGTCGTGTCACTGCCCAGGCTCTGCAATTGTTGACATTACTCTCTCCCTTAAAGTGAAGCTGCCGTTGTCAAGATCATGTGACCTGGCTGGAGCGACTTCACAATAGGTAAGTATAGACATCTTTTCTTTTACAGGGTAGATAGAATAGGCTTAGAATGTGGGTGGGAGTAGATTTTAGCTTAGCTAGGTTTTGACTTTGACTTGTACATGACTGAATTACACTTTAAGGTAGAAAAGAAAGTTTTGATCTCAAGACTATTTTGTTCCTGTGAAATACAAGAAAAGGCTCTTTACAAGAAAGATCTGCCAGCTCAGAAACATGCTTAACGAAAGTAACAGCTACCAGGAAGGCAACCTTACATGTGAGGTCAAAGTCGAAGGATATCTCCAATCAGCTCAAAGGGGGTCTCCGAAATACAGAGAGCACCAGCTTGTGATCCCAAAGCGAAAAATTGAGAGATTTATAGGAGTAACCCCTTGAATATAAAAGTCTTGATTAAGGATTGCAAAGCAAAAGGTTTCTGGAATAGGATGGATAAGGCAGAAATCTATCCTTTAAGGGTATACAGGGCCTGACACTGGTCAAGAAAAGAATGAATGAAAGCCAAAGTAAGAGCAAAAGAGTATTCCTTGGGCCATTCTAACACATGAATATGCTTTGATCTAAACCATTCCATTGTAGCTCATGCTGTATGTTTAGGGTCGTTGTTCTGTGGAAAGTCACATGAAAACGCCAAGGTATAAACTCACATTTGAGTAGAAAACAGTCAGGCTTCTTACACCACTAACCATGGGTGTACTGGATGTACTTTAGGTGTACCAAGATGGTGCGCACCGGAAGTGCGTCACCACGCCACATCTACTTGTTACGTCACGCCCTCGTGACTTCCTCAGGATCTTGATCTTGGCGTTTTCATGTGACTTGCTAATAAATACAGTATTGCACTATGGAGGATCTCTGTTTTATCATTCTATGATCCCTACATGATTTATACGTACGAGTATACCTTGGTAACCTGTGTATGGAGGAGTGAAGGAGAGATCACTAAGGGGCTGTGGAGCTAGACCTACCTGGAGATTGTGTATATGATCCAGGGAGATCCGAAAAGGGTGTTGACCCTGGTGGGTCACAGTAGGAAGGTGAGCGGGCATGCCTGCCATTTAGGATTTGTACTCACCGCTTGCACCAGCACTGGAGCACCCGTATAAGGAAAAGTTACTGCTATATTCTCACCATCAGCATGTGGTGGTTGAATATGGACATTGAAGTTTAGCACTTGTTTAACAGTAGATGTGGGTTAATACACTGAGCACCTGTTGGTTCTATTATATATCCCTACACAGGGATCCACTTGGTTTTATATTACACTTTGGATTGGTCCCATTGGGGGACAGGTATTATCATGCATTTAGGTCCTATATAGGACCATTTGTTGTTATTTTATTCTGTTTTTTGCACTATTTACCACCTGATAGATCCTGTCAGATCGAACACATCAGTAGGTATTATATTACTGTGTCTAATACCATATTTGAGCATGCTTATGTGTATATATATGATATAGAAGGTCATTAATTTATTATTGTTAAAATATGATATAGCTGCTATTATACAGATACATCCATTTCCAATAGCGCAGGAGGATTTTTTACAATTTTTTGGCAGCAGATGTTTGACAAGAGAACTCCAAATATTAAAAGCAAAGTACCTGAATAAAGAATAATTTGGGTTTGCCCACCAAGGTTTTGCAACGGTCACCTCGGAAAAGGGATGTGAGCCGTTTAACAGGCATGGCGTCATCTACTCCGTATAACAAGCTGTCCTCACCATGACTCAAGAGTGCACAAACAAATGAACTTCTTTTGCTGTGGTCATCCTCAGCCGCTGCACAATACAAATATCAAGACTTAATGGCTAAAAAAAAAAATATAGGGCTGATAACCAATTACTTATGCCACCAGTTTATTATATTGAAAGGTACATCAAAATCTAGAGGTCTAAGGAACGATTGGTGAAATTATTATGAGAGTTTAAATTACAGGAAGGAAGTAGTAGTGGAGTATGTTGTAATAATACTCAGAAGGTCTCTGTCCCTATCCCCGTGTGAACTACACATGGGTAGACCTTGAGATGAGATAGAAGAAGCGAGTCTTATTATTGTTATTAAGTTTACACAAAACAAGCCAACTACCCAAAATGATCAAGAATATGCCAAGTTAATGTTAATATATAATTTACACTAAGGTGACACTCCTTGCAAAGAAATAAAAAGTCTGAAGTAGGATTTGAAAATCTAGCTCTCCAGTCATAGAAGAACTAAACGTTTCAATATGGTAGCTGAATATTCACAAGTTGCCCAACACTGGAATTAAGAGTACAACATCCTATTTATGCAGAAAAAAATATCAGTCCCTGTTCTGAAATGTGTCAGAAAGTATAACATCATGATGAGTGTGGTGGACAGTACTTGCCTTTTTTCAAAAGTTCATAGATGTCAGAGCACTTCAGATCGTTGTAAACCAGGACTTTGTAACCTAAACTTTTAAATGTACCCTGTAATTTTTGGGCATCTAAATCAGTTCCATTCCGCATTCCCATTCCTTTAAAAAAGAAAAACAAATTCTAATTTAACCATATACAAAAAAGTTCTGGAAGACAGATACACAATCTGTACACACTCTTACTTGTGGATGGGTGGAAATTCTTGTTATTGACAATTACACACACCCCCATCTCTGGGTAATCGGTTCTGTATCTGAAGAGATGATTAAACTTTGATTCGATTTCCTTTGTTGTGCCACCTTTCAAATGAATTCTAGGAGAGAAAAAGTGTAATACATGAGCACACCAAAGATTCTATACAGAAAATTATAGACCATACTTATTTTGCTAGGAAGATGCTTGCTTGAAATCTATTCTAACCTTTACTATCAATAGGTTATTGTTCCTCTTATCATAAGCATAGCCACAAGCATTTAGTTGCTACTTCCCTAGGCATACATGTGTATGCTCAGCGGAGGATGGGTGAAATGGGCCTGAATGTCAGAAAAGACTCCAAATTTCTATGAGCATCTCAAGATTTACTACAGAATGATAAATCTCAATGCATTTCTGGAATACATGGTAGTGGAAAACCATATGCACAGCAGGTCTATCCTCACGTACAGAACTTATGCCTCTGCCTATGCCTTCTACAGCAAAAATTGGATTTTGTATTCACCGTAAAATCCCTTTCTTGGAGTTCAATGAAGCGCAAAGCTTAATTCATCACAGATAAGTTGACAAGTTAAATTAAAAGCACACCTAAAGGGCGGCCCTCTTGAGGTGGCCAAATCCCCAGCTGCAACACAAGAATCAGTTGGTAGCCAGCAGTATCAGGACAAAAATGCAAATACAGCCAAAAAGTGAAAAGCCAGGTGCTGTGTCCTTCAATGAACTCTGAGAAAAGGATTTTACAGGGAGTACAAAAATCCAATTTTCTCAATTGCTTATTAAAGAACACAGCTTAATTCATCACAGATGGCATGTCCAATAGTGCCAGAAAAACAGAAAAAGAGGGGCGGGCCCACAAACAAAAAACTGACCCCAGGCAGAACACAAATTGCCGCCTGCAAAACTTTACAACCAAGCTGGCCTCCCCTGATGCAGCTATGCAAACCCTATATTACTTGGAAACGTTGGGACAGCAGCAGCCGCCCCACATCCCTGGGAAAAAAAACAGAGCACCTAGTGTCCTGCTTCTGTAGATGAATGACAGGGAAAACGTATTTATTCTTTGTATAAAATCTTTATTTTACAATTAAGCATTTCTTGCAAGGATATACATGTCACTGAGTTTGTAAAGTATGCTGAGAACTGTAATATAAAATCCCAGCACTACATGCATGCTTTCTGCAGATGTGTTAGTTAAAGCCTAATGTTGCTTTCACACTGAAGTGGTGCAGTTTGACTGCACGGTGGGAGCAGCGCACTGTAACAGCGGGTTTGGTGCTGGTTTGCTGCACTATCCCAAAGAGTTCTATTGTGTCATACGGTTTTGGTGCGCTTTTAGATAGCACTCCAAAACTGACCTTCTCTGAACCCGCGAGTATGCTGGACTGCATATGGGGTTCAGGAAATCGGCACTGCATCAATGCAAAAGGGATCTACCACCAGGTTTCTTGTCATTTTAAGTAGTTTAGCTAGTCTGAACGATCGAGTTGCTAACAGATGCGCCTGCTCTGAGCGCTGTATAAACTGTATGTAGCCAAGTCTACAACATTGTGTTCCGGCAGACAGAATGGGGATTTTCCGTCTCGATCAAGGAACAAAATGGGGTTGGAGCTGAGTCCTGTTCAGCCATTCACAGGAAGCTTTGTATTTCCCAATATACTCTAGGAATCAATAACAGTGGAGTTATAGAATACTTATAATGTTCTGGGGGAATCATCCCAATAGTGTAAACGTACATATAGATGATAGACCAAAAGAACTTTGAACATGCTGCCCAGGAAATCATGCATTTTATTATTATTATTATTATTATTATACAGTATTTATAAAGCGCCAATAGTTCACTCAGCGCTGTACATTACAAAGGGGGACAGAACATGTGACAGAACAATACCAATACAATGCAAAACATGAGGGGATTGAGGGCCCTGCTCTTTCGAGCTTACAATCTAGAAGGGACGGGATAGTGGTACAGGAGGAGATAGCTGTGGGGGATGGAGTGGTAGCAAGAGTGGAGGAGGTCAGCAAGTTAGCAGGGGGGGGTGAGGTAGGCTTCCCTGAAGAGATGGGTTTTCAGGGTATGCCTAAAGGAGAGGAGAGTAGGTGATAATCTGATGGGTTGGGGAAGGGAGTTCCAGAGGATGGGTGACACCCTGGAGAAGTCCTGGAGGCGGGCATGGGGAGAGGAGACCAGGGAACTAGAGAGAAGGAGGTCTTGTGAGGAGCGGAGTGTGCGTGCTGGGCGGTACTTGGATATTAGGTCAGTGATGTAGTTCGGGGCAGTATGGTGGACAGCTTTGTACGTCAGTGTTAGGATTTTAAATTTGATCCGTTGCGCAATCGGAAGCCAGTGGAGGGATTGGCAGAGGGGGGTGGCGGAAATGGAGCGGTTGGAAAGGTGAATGAGTCTGGCAGCCGTATTCAGGATCGACTGAAGCGGGGATAGCCAGCGGCGAGGCAGGCCAGTGAGGAGGGAGTTGCATAGTGCCAAAGATATAAACAAGAAATATCAATAAAACCTAATAGTTTTTTTTTACTTTACAAAGACATTAAAACATACTGGGTTAGAAAAGCTCACAATACATAATTAAAATGAAAAACTCATATAGAGCAAAGGTAGAGGATAGGCATCCTAACACAAACGTGTCATGTCAACGTGTTTCGCTGAAACCACTTCATCAGGACTTGGACGCATGATGCCAATTTTCAATGTACCATGGTTATACACCAAAGGCTCAAGATCCTACACACTAGAGGAGTGCGAAGAGTGCAAGCACAATTTCTTTGATGGTGGAAGTCTAACCACACAGGCCCACAGTTTATATAGGATATTTATAATATTTCCTCTTGATGCTATGGTTTGCGGATAAATCTTTCGTCTGGAATACAACTTTTCTAACCATTTAGGACATGAATTATGGTTCATATGTGATTAGCTGGTGGATATCTGGGTATTCATTATTAGGCCTCCCCACTGTCTTGGTCAAGACAGTTAACCCCCTCAGACCACGTATACACATCTTGGTGGGGTTTTCACATGTAGGCAAAGCTCTTGCGTCTTGGGAGTATAATCATGGTACACTGTTGATTTGCATCATAACGGATACCCCCTACCTCTGCTTTATATGAGTTTTCTATTTTAATTATGTATCGTGAGCTGGTCTAATCCAGTACTTTTTAATATCATTGTAAAATAAAAAAATATTAAGTTTCATTGATATGTGTGTATGTCTTTGGCATTGTACATGGTCTCCTGGGCTTAGCAAAACAAAATGGAGTGTGGCTAAGCAGCACTCAGCCAGTCACAGGAAGCTTTTTATTTCATCAATGAATACAGGGCTTCTTCCGAATGGCTGAGGTGTAGATCTTGATGTCATCCGCCCATCTCTTCAACTCAGCCAATCATAGGAAGCCCTGTATTCATTGATAACATACAAAGCTTCCTGTGAATGGCTTAGTGCTGCTCAGAAAGATTCAATTTTGTTTTGGGACCAGGAGGGAAATCGGCATACTGCTGCTGGAACACAGCACTGTATACTGTATGTTGCTGATGCTACATACACTTTTTACAGCTCTGACACTGGGTACATCTGTTAATGAAGCAAATAATTTGCTTGGGCCAGCTTATTTCAAACAAACTATTTAACGCAACAAAAAACCTAGAGTTAAACTTTAAGACACTGTGCCAGTAGGTGGTACATGTGAAACAATTTACTTTTGCATTCGCTACCCAAGTAAAAAGCAATACAGAACATAGTAAATATAATTTTATAAAAAATTGTTATAAAATATATTTTCCCTCTGAAATGACAACTATCACAAAAGTGTGTGTAGTGAGAACTGTACATGGTAAAAAACATACAAAGAGATAGGATCAAGGATATATAATTTCTTTTGTTTCATATATATATGGACTGCTTGTGAAGGGTAAAACTTCATTTATACAGCCTATAGTTTTTCATTCATGTAATCCTGACAGCACCTTCGTTCTAGAACAATTTTAGGACCCTTTCACACTGCTGCACTTCTGTTCCGACGGACGTACAATGGAAGGTGTCTTTTTGGTGAAAAACTGCACCAAAGATGCAGCATGCAGGACTTTTCAAAGTGCAGCGCACCTGCAGTGTAAACCATTACATAGGATTTAACCACTTCAATACAGGGCACTCTTACTCCACTTCCTGCCCATCCCAATTTTCAGCTTTTGGCGTTCTCACAGTTTGAATGACAATTGCGCGCGGTCATGCAAAATTATATTTTTACCATTTTTTTCACACAAATAGAGCTTACTTTTGGTGGTATTTAATCATTACTGTTTTTTTAAAATTCTTGCTAAATAAAACAAAAAAAGACCGAAAGTTTTTCTTCATTTCTGTTATAAAATTTAGCAAATAAATGTTCTTCATAAATTTATGCCAAAATGTATTCTGCTACATGTCTTTGGTGAAAATAACCCAAATCAGTGTATATTATTTAGTCTGTTGGAAAGTTATAGAGTTCACAAACTATGGTATACATCTGAAAGTCAATCAATCCTGAGTGTACTGACAGCACTGATCTCATTTCTTGAGGCCCCAAAATGTCAGGACAGTACAGATATTCCCCAAATTACCCCTTTTTGGAAAGTAGACAATTTTGTGGCATTTAGTAAGAGACATGGCGAGTCTTATGAAGTTGTAATTTTTTTTTTAATTTTCACAATCTTTTTTTTTTTTTCACATACTGTCACCATGCAGTACAGCACCATATACTCTTAGATTGTAAGCTCCAAGGAGTAGGGCCCTCCTAACCCTCTTGTTTTGAACTGTATTGTCTCCCGTTATATTGTAAAGTGCTGAGCAAACTGTTGGCGCTATATAAATCCTCTATAATAATATAACTGGTGTGTTTTTGTTCTTTTTTTAACACTGCTATAGGCAAGCACTTCACTGATTTAAATTAATTAATTCAGTGTTTTTTGTTGTGATTAGCTGTAGTTGGCCACAGTTAATGACATGACACAGATGGGCTGTGATTGGCCCAGTCTATACATGTGATGGCTATGACCAATCGCAACTAACAACACAATTGTATACAATGGATGGCATGAAAGGACTGTTCACAACTGTCATGTGATCTGCTGTAATTGTTCACAGCGGTCACATGGTACTGGCAACGGGCCGATACACAGATCGGTCGCAGACCTTGCCGTAGCACGGCACCGAGGGCACACAAGGTCGGCGATCTGGGAGGGAATAGTTTTCATGCATTTTTTTTTGCCCAGAGAAGAATGGCAAAAGCACACCAATGTGAAAGGGGCTTTGTGAGTGTCTGTTTTCAGCATTGAGCTGAGTCAGGAGATAAGGTAGTCTCTTTATTACGCATTATTTTCAACACAATTACACATTACAAAAAATGCACAGTAAAGTGTCTTAATAAACATAAGACGTTTTACAACCACCAACAATTACGGTTTTGATTGTCTCCGGCTATCATAAGAATTACTATACATGCCTAGTGCATTATGAACAAAATCTATATACTCAAAACAAAAACAAATTCATATATAAAAAACTCATTAAGTATAAACATTCCCTCAATCTTCTAATTATACTATTGATATCTCTGTATGTGATATCTCATTTCTCCTATAACCTTTTTGACACTTTTGACCTAAATTAAATTGTATGCTTTATTCAGACATTACTAATATTTTATTATCCCATACCTAATAACTTCTCTAACTAATTGTAGAGGAACCACCTCTGTAGTATTCAATCATTTATCCCATATTTTTATAAATTTGTCTGGGTTGCCTTTATGTTGATATGCCATATGATCTTTTTGTACGATTTTGTTTACATGGATTGAGTTGGGGGGGCTTGGATATCCATTTCTGTGCAATGAGTTTTTGTGCTATAAACATTAGGCGAATATTCGGCGTGCAAACCTGTGACGGAGACAATTCTCTATACAGCCACCTAAAATAGCCAAAAATGTAAATGTATTTTATTGGGATTTAATGTGGTAGACCAACAAAAGTGGCACATAATTGTGAAGGGGAAGGAAAATAGTAAATGTTTTTCAAAATTCCTTACAAAAAAATACCTGAAAAGTGTGGCGTGCATTTGTATTCAGCCCCCGAGTCAATACTTTGTGGAACCACCTTTGGCTGCATTACATCTGCAAGTCTTTTTGGGAATGTCTCTACCAGCTTTGCACATCTAAGGAGGGACATTTTTGCCCATTCCACTTTGCAAGATAGCTCAAGCTCTGTCAGAATGGATGAAGAGCATCTGTGAACAGCAATTTTTAAGTCTTGCCACAGATTCTCAATTGGATTTAGGTCTTTGACTGGACCATTCTAAAACATGAATATGCTTTGATCTAAACCATTCCATGTAGCTCTGGCTGTATGTTTAGAGTTGTTGTCCTGCTGGAAGGTGAACCTCCGCCCCAGTCTCAAGTCTTTTGGAGACTCTAACAGGTTTTCTTCTAAGATTGCCCTGTATTTGGCTCCATCCATCTTTCCATTAACTCTGACCAGCTTCCCTGTCCCTGCTGAAGAAAAGCATCCCCACAACATGATGCTTCCACGACCATGTTTCAAGGTGTGGGGATGGTGTGTTCAGGGTGATGTGCTGTGTTAGTTTTTCCTCATGCGTTTTGCTTTTAGGCCAAAAAGTTAAATTTTGGTCTCATCTGACCAGAGCACCTTCTTCCATATGTTTGCTGTGTCCCCCACATGGCTTCTCGCAAACTGCAAATGGGACTTCTTATGGCTTTCTTCTCACCACTCTTCCATAAAGGTCAGATTTGTGGAGTGCACAACTAACAGTTGTCCTGTGGACAGATTCTCCCACCTGAGCTGTGGATCTCTGCAGCTCCTCCAGAGTTATCATGAGCCTCTTGGCTGCTTCTCTGATTAATGCTCTCCTTGCCCAGCCTGTCAGTTTAGGTGGATAGCCATGTCTTGGTAGGTTTGCAGTTGTGCCATACTCTTTACATTTTCTAATGATTGATTGAAAAGTGCTCTGTGAGATGTTCAAAGCTTGGGATTTTTCTTTTACTACCTACCCTGCTTTAAACTTCTTCGCAACTCTATCCCTGACCTGTCTGATGTGTTCCTTGGCCTTCATGATGCTGTTTGTTCACTAAAGTTCTCTAACAAACCTCTGAGGGCTTCACAGAACAGCTGTATTTATACTGAGATTAAATTACACACAGGGGGACTATATTTACTAATTAGGTGACTTCTGAAGGCAATAGGTTCCATTAGATTTTAGTTAGGGGTATAAAAGTAAAGGGGCTGAATACAAATGCACACCACACTTTTAAGATATTTATTTGTAAACAAATTTGAAAACCAATTATGTGCCGCTTTGTGTTGGTTTATCACATAAAATCCCAATAAAATACATTTACATTTTTGGTTGTAACATGACAAAATGTGGAAAATTTCAAGGGGTATAAATACTTTTTCAAGGCACTGTATATGACCAATATCAACTAGCCACTGCGTTTTACATCTCATCGACATTGCTTTTGGTGTTTTCTGCAACAATGCCCTATAAACAGCTGTTATTTGACCTTTCTTAGAAGTTGCAGTTATAATCCGAGAGTTATAGGTATGGTATAGACCCATTGTGTTGATCTAGACTGTGTTTGCAATGCATGTCTAAGCTGCAAATATTGAAAGAAACATGTGGTAGGTAGGCCAAATTCCTCTTCTAAAGTGTGAAAGTCCTTCAGAAGCTGGCCATGATATAACTGCGGAATATATTCAAGGCCCTGTATTAGCCATTGATCAAATCCCTGTAATTTTAATAATTTGGGGTAATTAAAATTCTGGAATATTCAAGCATAATTAGTTAATCACAGTATGATTTGATCTTATGCCATACCCTGTCTATCATATCTAACATAGGGTATTGCCTAGCTATTTTAAATTCACCAGCTTCTAAACTATCCACCAACCCTCTCAATACACCTGCTATTTTTAATGAGTATTGAGTATTTTTAATACTCAAATCTTTTTTCCACCCTGTTAAGTGGTGAAGCTGTGCTGCTAAATAATATAGGAAAGGGTTAGGGACCCCAAGACCCCCCTCCGTCCTTGGCCTGCAGCGTTTCTAATTTAATCCTTGGGCTATGCTTTTTTTTACATATTAACATAAGAATCACAATCTCCAACCATTTAAAAGTAGATTATGTAAAACATACAGCAATTGCAGCACCCATATCATTTTTATAAGATTGACCCTCCCCACTACTGAAAGGGGTAGTTTGCACCAGTACGTAGTTTTCTGTTTAAACTTTGCCAGCAAGGGGTTCACATTTAAGCTAACATAATGAGATGTCTCTATGAATAGTAATCCCTAAATATATAAATGATTCAACCACCTTTATTTGGGAGGCAACTGGTGGTAAAGGATCCTGAAGCGGGTCTAGTGGTAGGATGGTAGACTTACTCCAATTTATTGAATTTACTGAAAAATTGAATATAATCCAAAGATGTTAATAAGGGAAATTGTGTGTTCTATAGATATGGTCATGTCACCCAAGAATAATAAAGCATCATCTGCAGATAAGGCCAGTTTATCTTCCATCTCACCTGTCCTGAATCCCACTATTTGACCATCTCCACGTATAGCTGCAGCTAATGGTTCCAAAGCCAAAGCAAATAATAGGGGAGATAGTGGGCATCCCTGTCAAGTGCCCCTGTTTAACTTAATCGGCGTTGAAAGGGTATTATTAATTCTAAGGCGAGCTGTAGGGAATTGATATAGCAATTTGATGTTATGTTATAAATTCGCCTCCTAAGTTAAATTTTTTAAGACACACCATAAATAGAGACACTCCACGCTATCAAATGCCTTAGTGGCATCTAAGGATAATATAGCTCTATTACCAGCATTATGAGGTGGAATTTGAATATTGAAATGTACCCTACAGATGTTCACAGCAGTTGACAAATATGCTTGATAAGTTTGGAAATAATACATATTTCTCACCTTTGCCCCAAATGTGACAGTGCAGGGTTTTGCAAAGCTGTGACACCAAAGCAAATGGTGGGACTTTATGGTGCCATGGCATTTATGTCAGACGAAACCATCTTTTCAAAATGTACTGATGGGAATCATTCCTGGCCAGAGTATGTATGAAGTTACTTTATATATGGTTTTAATTAGACTTTGATGAAACATTATGGCAGCATATACAATATTCTGCCGCCGCTGTTGTAATGCAATGAAATGAATGTATAATATGCACACTGGTCACCACTTACTGCTGATTGGATGAATACGTTCCAGCATCAGTGTTGTCGCCTCCTGCATGTATCCCATTCTGATTATCTGCCATTCTGCTTTTCTCAGTCTTCAAAGCTGTCAAAACAAACCATATTTATGTATAATTATATAATAGGTTTTAGGAGCATCATCATTCAGGCTCATTTTAAACAAATGCACATTGTAATCTAATAGCATTTAGGTAATCCAGTAGCATTTAGGTTGAACTCCAGCTGACCAAACAGCATTGTAAACGTCATAAAGGTTGTAACCCTTTCACCATGCTTTTTTTTTTTTTTTCTTTTTTTAATTAACATCTGCTTTGACTGGAGCTCCCCTTTAAGTCATAGCAGCAAAATTATTATTATTTATATGTTTTTATAAATGTACCCAGCTATATTTTAAAGTGCTTGGGTTTATACATAAGAGCTGGAATGTGCCATTTGGTGGATTCATAAAGATTATTACAGAAATGTTAACATGATGCCGACATATAAGGTACAACTGTAAATAAATTTAAAAAACCCACCTGAACAGCCTGGTAAATATCCAAATCAGAATACAAGATGCATAATGTAATTGTATTGGATGTTATCTTATATGATATGCAGTCAGACCTAAGGTGTCTGTTCTAGTTGGGGGTTGCTTTCCAAGATCATCTCAAATGGCCTAAGTGTGATTAAACTGAATGATTACTTATACTGTACACTATGCTTTATATCATTCTGCATACAGTAGATAGTGTGACCAGTGTTTAATGTCAGGCAACCTAATCCTAAGAAAAGAGGTTGCAAATAGATGAGAAAAGTATTTTTGACTAATAAGAGTAAAGTAAAAGGCTACATATATGGTACATCACAATGGTAGCATTGAATAGAAACCATATTTTTGAACACAACTGCTTGCTTCATTATGTTGTATTGTTGCTGAAGGAGGAAGTAATTGAGCTTTGGTGGTTTAAGACTTTCAAAACATCATTAACACTCACACAGAACACAGATGTATCAACTGGTGGAGCCCAAAGAATTGCATTAACTGTACATACAAAGGCACCCACAGAAGTGAGTGCAGTGAGGACCTGGGGGGAGTGGGGGGTTAAGGTGTAAAACTGGGTATACATGTACAGGTTTGTTTGTTGTTCAACCAGCAGATTGAACAAAAAAAATTGAACAGATCCCCAAGTCAACACAATTGATGTTGATGCAGTGATCTCTCCAGCTGTGTCTGGGACTCCCTGCTAGAAAACACACATTAGCCGAACAGCGTTTTCAGCCATTGGATGCGCAAGCACTGATCAAATGCTAGTTTACCAGTAGGACCATTCATCAGAAGGTGGCAGTTAGACCAGCTTCTGTTGAACAGGCAGCCATACACACGTACCAATATTTAGCTGGTTCTTGCTGAACCAGGCAACGTTTGGTATGTCTGTACCACGCTTAGTTCACCTTTCCATTCTTTTTGAATAGGTGAACTAACCCATTAAGACATCTAGTCTACAAATTTTTTTCATACACAGACCCTTAAGAGTGAGACTATGCCTCAATGTCACTGGCAGAATTTACAGAGTACAAGAAACATATATTTTTTATATGGGTTACCTTAGTCCCAGACCCTATGAGTGCAAACAGCAACATTTTAAGTCAAGAGCAAAAAACTGGGCTTCATTTATCCAAGTACCTGAATTAACTATGTGCCAACCGCAGATAACTGAATGATGGCTACACTGCGGCCGGCATGTTATGGGAAGGCATCATATGACGTCCTCCCAGAACGCGCTCTCCTGCGCGCCCCGGCGATCTCCGTGATCGCTGTGTCCTACAGACACCGCTGATCACGTGATGTGGTAAAAGACCAATCACAGCGGCCTTTTACCACGTGATCAGCCGTGTCTAATGACACGATGATCACCGGGAAATGCAATTGCCTGTTCTCAGCTGCACTTTCCTCACGCTGTCAGAGCACGAAGAAAGTACTGCCGAGAACTGGCAGTTGTCAGAGCAGGGATCGGCACCGATCATCAGGGCATTGATGATCAGTGCCCTGATGACCAGTGCCCAGCAGTGCCACCCACCAGTTCCGCCAACCTGTGCCCAGCAGTGCGCCAACCTGTGCCCAGCAGTGCGCCAACCTGTGCCCAGCAGTGCTGCCAGTCTGTGCCCAGCAGTGCTGCCAGTCAGTGCCCAGCAGTGCTGCCAGTCAGTGCCCAGCAGTGCTGCCAGTGCCCAGCAGTGATGCCAGTCAGTGCCACCTATCAGTGCCAACTCATTAGTGCTGCCTATCCATGCCCCACCACCTCATTAGTGCTGCCTATCAGTGCCCATCAGTGCTGCCTATCAGTGCCCATCAGTGCTGCCTATCAGTGCTGCCTATTAGTGCCCATCAGTGAAGGAGAAAAATTACCTGTTTGAAAAATTTTATAATAGAAACAAAGAAACTTTTTTTTTTTCAAATTTTTTGCTATTTTTTTGTTTATAGCGCAAACAGTAAAGTGCCCAGCAGTGATTAAATACCACCAAAAGAAAGCTCTATTTGTGAGAAAAAAATGATAAAAATTTCACATGGGTACAATCTTGCATGACCGCGCAATTGTTAATCAAATTGCAACAGCGCTGAAAGCTGAAAATTGGCCTGGTAAAGAAGGGGGTATAAGTGCCCAGTAGGCAAGTGGTTAAGAACCGTATGTAATATACTACTGCAATCAATTACATTTTCTGGGGCAATTTTCTTTTTGATTGGTGGATATGGGGCAATGCAGACAATTTTTATTTCACTGATAAAATGCGCATTTCTACTCATCATTTTGCACTCATTTGGGATTCCTAAACCAGTCAAAGTGAAAGGTACAGAAAATGGTGACATGTAGCGGTGCATTTAATTTGTTGCCTGTTCTGCAACCATTTTCTACTCATAAAAGGCCCATATACACACTGACCTTTTCCATGTTTTTAAATTAATGCAAGTCTGACTGGAGGGGGACATTAAAAAAATAGTTGTTATTACTGTTACATGTTATTTGTGAATTTGCTGAATCTTCGGAACTGGCACATTGAATCTATTCTGAATGGTCTCTTGCATGTTCCACGGGCCTGTTCTGGAGCACTAATGTAAAATGTATGTGCTCTCTGGATAGGTAGAACCCTCTCAAAATGTCATTCTACAGATGTCAGTGGAAACATAACACTTTTTTTCCCCCAAGCTGGAAGTGTTTAACTGGATACAAATGGCCACACTGATATACAGTGAAGGAAATAAGTATTTGATCCCCTGCTAATTTTGAATGTTTGCCCACTCACAAAGAAATGATCAGTCTAAAAAATTGAATGGAAGGTGTATTGTAACACTGAGACAGAACAGCAGCAAAACATTCAAAAGAAATGCATGTCTAACAAATTATGCACAAATTATGGGGATCAAATACTCATTTCCCTCATGAACATGCAAATCGTGCATAATTTGTTAGACATGCATTTCCTTTGAATTTTTTGTCACTATTCTCTCAGTGTTACAATACACCTACCATTCGATTTTTAGACTGATCATTTCTTTGTGAGTGAGCAAATATTCAAAATCAGCAGGGGATCAAATACGTATTTCCTTCACTGTACTACAATATATATGCACAGCTGCATTCTTCCCACAGAGAGATTGTTCTTCTGCTGTTTTTACTGTACCAATAGGAGTTAAAATAATTGTAACAATGATCAGATACAATATCTTTACTAGTGGTAGATAGTAAGAATTTCCTTGTGCTTTATTATACAGAAGGACTTTTCAGCTTGTTGGCAGCTGCTTTTCTACAGAGGAAAGAGAACAATCATGTTATCCTTGTGACAAGCTTTTGCTGTTGGTCAGATTAAAGGACAGTACTAATGTGTTGATATAAATCCCTCTCCAACCACAATGACTAATGTTTATAATCACCACATGATAGTATCTCATTTCTCTATATAACAAGCACAAATTTGTATTTTACAGTTTCATACAGAACAAAAGACATAAATTGTTAGGTGAGGCATACGGGTAGCAGATTTTCCAAGACCATCAGGAAGGGCAATTTAAATCACCATGAGCTAATGTACTAAGTCAGCCAGTCCTGCCACTAGGGATGGTGAGCTCATCCAGCTATTTGTGGAAATAACAGGAATTATACTAGAGGGAATATAACTCACTTGACATCTGCACAATACCTGACTTAGTATTGTTTCTAATTTTCAAGACACTATTCCATTATTTTAAATATATTGTTTCATCCTACAAAATTAAAGCTGAACTCCAAGTATAAATTTTTGCATATGCCATAACTGTGCCAAAAACCCATACATGGAATTCACCTTGAAATATAATGGGTAGCACCTCTAAAGCCCAGCTCCAGGAATTTAAGGTTGAATATATTTTTTATTATAAGTTTTTTTTTTTTTTTGGTGTACAAAGGTACAAAAAATAGAACACAGAAGGAATAGTAATAACAATACGACTGTAAGAGCATAAAAGTAACAAGGTGGCTGTCGATGGGTGCAGACAGATATTTACAATGATGCACAGGATGAATCAAACAGGCATCATATAAAACAGAAGAAAATATCATGTAAACAGCACCTAACACTCCGCCGGGAGCAGGGGCGGACTGACAACTCATGGGCCCCCGGGAAAAAGGGGATCATGGGGCCCCTGTGTCCTTGCCCAAACTCAAAAAAGCCTATGAAAAAAGTACCAGGGGCATGTCATGGTGCCCCCTAGTGACCCCGGGCAGTGCCCGAGTTTCCAAATGGTCAGTCTGCCACTGGTCGGGAGAAACACTTGATGAAGGTAATGGATGATCTCTATTGTTGATTGGAAAAAAAAAACAAACATTAGCCATATTGAGTCAGGGGGAAGGAAGAGAAAAGAACAACACAGAAAAAAGAAAAAAAAGATAGAATAAGATAAGCCGAGTGGAAGAAGATGCGAGAAAGTACAAAAGAACATGAATATAAAAGGGCACAGGGGTTCGAGGGCACGAGTCCTACCAATCCAATTCACTCCATAATGTGTCTAGAGGAAAAACTTTAACTAGGAGAGTACTTGAAGTCTATT